ATACAATGCTATTATTAAATCTACAGCTTTTGCCAGTTGTTTCACTAACGTCCTTTATTGCAAAGAAAAATATTTTTTTTCTAGTCCAGAAACCAGTCCAGGATCACACATCGCATTTTGTTGTCATGTTGCTTTAGTCTACTTTAATCTAGAAATTTCCTCAAACTGTCCTTATTTTTCACATCATTGACATTTTTGAAGACCACAGGCCAGCTGCTTTGTAGAACATCCCTTATTTGGGTTTGTCTGATGTTTCCTCATGATTCAGGTTACGTATTTTTGGCTAGAGTACCTCAGAAGCAATGCGGTGTCCTTCTCAGGGCATCATATCAAGAGGCACATAATTTTGATTTGTCCTATTACTGTGATATTAACTTTGATCACTTGGTTAAGGTGGTAAGGTGGTATTGGTGGATTTCCCTACTACAAAGTTACTATTGTATCCTTTGAAATTAATAAGAATTTATGGGAGATCAAACTTGCACCTACTAGTTTTACCATCCATTGATGATCTTACCTGAAATGATGTGCCCATCATTCTTTGAGCACTTTTCATATTTGAGATGATTATATTTAACAGGGCACATTACCACCTTGATAAAATAAGGCTTCTGTTAGTAAGCAACAAAAGGAAAAATGGAGGTTGTGTGGGCAACCAGTTCTATCTACCACACCTAGCTCCTTACCAGCCAAGAGCTGGTGGCTTGAACCCAAAGTGAGTGCCTTGCCTTGTTCTAACAAAACAACTTTGTGCCCACAATCCAAAGAGAGCCTTGAGGCCATGTAATTCCATCTGTGCCTTTCTTCACTGTAATCCTTTATCACCATGGCATCACTATGCCAAGTCTCCTGTGTTGCACAACTTCAGGGGGTGCCATTCATATTGTAGACTATGAATGATGTATTAGAGCAGGGGCCTGCAAACTTTTTCTATAAAGGGCCAGATAGTAAATATTTTCAGCTGTGTGGGCCATTTTTTTTTTCGGTCTTTGTTGCAACTACTCAACTCTGCCATTGTAGTGTGAAAGCAGCCGTAGACAATATGCAAATGAATCAGCATAGCTGTGATCCGATAAAACTTGATGTACAGCTACTGACATTGAATTTCATACCATTTTCATGTATCATGAAATATATTCTTACTTTCAATTTTAAAAAACCATTTAGAAATGTAAAAACCATTCTTAGCTTGTGGGCTTTACCAAAATAGGCAGCTGGTTAGATATGACCATAGTTTCCCACTCCCTGCCCTGCTCAGCTAAATTGTCATATGCGGTGGCCCTGCCTCCAGCCAGGTCTCCTCTCCCTTACCCTAATCTCCAATCTGCCGTAATTGCTCTGAGCTTTCTCTCCACCTCCTGTCCTCTTCTTTCTAAGGTCTTTCCCCTGTACCCCCGGAATCTCCCTTCAATTGTAAATAAACCTCTTTTCACCTTTAACCTCCTAGCTACTTCCTTGCCTTAACTGCAAAGTGAATGTATTGCCTAAGGAACTTTCTTCCTTTGCTGAATTCTAGAAAGGATGCTACTCATTTTCCCATGCCCCACAACTCATAGGCGTGGGAAGTGGTGCTGACATCCTCCACATTCCCCAATCCTACTTCTAAACTTTGTACTCTTCCGCCCTCTTGCAAAACCTCCTCCTCCTTTGAAGATCTTATCATGCGACTCTTTGAACAACAGCTAACACACACTGAGTGATCTCCTCACAACCACTAGGAGACAGGTACCATTATTATTCCCATTTTGCAGAGAGGCACAGAGAGGTTAAGGTCATACAGCTAGTAAATGGCAGAGACAGGAATCTAATCCCAGCAGTTCATGCTTATTACCAAGACGTTATATTGCCTTTTCTCTATGATCATGGACCACGTGGATAACTACCCTCCATCCTAGCCTCACTCTCCATTGTCACTTAGGCGCATGGACAGAAACAAGTGCACACTTAACTTGAGTCATTTGAAGAGGATTTAATAAAGGAACTATTTATAAAGGTGTAGGCTAGTCCTTCTCAACCTTTTTTCATTATCATCCACCCTAAGGAGAAAAATTAAATTAATCCACTAATTATTTTTACCAATTAAATTAACTTGAATTAATTAATAAGACATTCAGTTCACCTCAACCCAATCCATTCTTCCTACAAGTCAAAGTCGTCTTTCTAACTGCAACCAACTGGGAACCAGCTGGTTCTGGAGGGAACCGGATGGCTGGAGGTGGGCAGGAAGATGACCTTTTCAGCTTTTAAATGTTATACAATATGAGTGTATCATCTAATTTTAAAATGAAATGTAACTTTAAAAATTGACCTAAAATGCAAATATGGTCATTCTTTCCTATGCTCAAAACACTTTAGTAGCCCATCTGCCACCAAGTTAAAATCCAAATCGGTTCACATGTCACACTAGGCCCCTAGCATCCTTCTTTAGCCTCATCTCCACCACTTTCCACCTCAAACCCTGTGTCCACACATCTGAATCACTGAGAAATGAATGTGCTCCCTAAGCAACTGTCTTCCTTTGCTGCCTGTTTGTTCACAATGCCATTTGTATCAGGCGTCTGCTTTTGTAAACCTGCAGTTTCTACAACCCAGAATGCAATGCCTCTCGCTCTCCTCTTCTTTTCTTCCTGGTGAATTCTTCATTCTTCAAAATCCCGTTAAAACAACTTCTCCTGACTCCTGTGAGAATAGCCACCAATGTTCCTCTCTGTGCCACCACTGGTGATTAAGAGCACAGGCTCCCATGCCAGACTGTATGGGTTTAGATCCTGGATTTGTCACTTACCAGTTGGTGACTTCGGGCAAATTATTTAACCTCTGTGCTTCAGTTTCCTTATTTGTAAAATGGAGATTAGAATAGTTCTTATCTCAGAAGGAGAATATTCATTCACCAAATATTTACTGACTATCTATTATATATCAAAACAGATAAAAATTTCTGCCCTGGCGGAACTTATATTAGACTTTAGAGCAGGGGTTGGCAAATTACAGCCCCTGTGCCAAATTTAGCCACCTGCTATGTAAATAAAGTTTTATTGGAATGCGGCCACGTCCATTCATTTATGTATTGTCTATGGCCACTTCCATGCTACAATGGTTGAGTTGAGTTGTTGTGACATAGATCATAGGGCCTGCAGAGCCAAAAATATTTACCTTTAAGAAAAAATTTGCTAGCCCCTGCTCTGGTGAGGTTAAGTGAGTTCATACACTTAAAGTGTTTAAAACTTAAAAACATTGCCTGGCACTTGGTAAGCACTCAAAGGATGCCAGCTTTACTAATATCATTGCATACACTTACAAAAACACTTAGCACGGGTATTCAGTAAAACTTTTGCTGAATGAATGAATAAACAGAGAGGTAAAGAGGAACCAGAAGTTGGGGTCATGGAAACCACTGGCGGAAGTTTCAAGATGGTGGAAGTGGTCGGCTATGTTAGGTGACAAATCAATACTTAAGAAAGACCATCAGATTTGGCAATCAGATGAAGTGAGTTAACCAAGAAGCAGCTTGTGTGAAGTGGTGAGGACAAAAGCTAGACTATGGTGGGTTTAGGAGGGAATGGAAATGAGGAAGAAGAGATAGGAAAGTGGAGATTATACAGCTATGTGACGGCAAGTATTGAGATAAAAATGAACACCTTTGGTCTGCCACCTGAATTTTTAAAAATCTGCTAACCAAAAATGTTAGGTTTATTGAAATATTGGGGTACCTGATGGATTCTCTGCTTATCTTTGAGCTGTTTGGTGTTGGGTAAAATGTCAATGGGTAAATTCAAGTCCAGAACTAGAGAGAAATTTAGGCAGAACCTTCAAGTCCAGAACCATTAAAAAATTTATGATGATGTTAATGATGATAAAGTAATGTTTGTTTCTTTTGTGATCTTAATCATTGTGTGATCTTAACTAGTTTGAAATGAGAATTTCAATGCAAACAGCAGTGTAAATTTGCCTGTAGAATATTTATTATAATCACAGAACAAAAGCCATATAACCATACTTTTTTGTTCATCCTATAAACATTTGCTGAGTACTTTGCATGTACTACACATTCCGATATAGATAGATATGTGTGTATAGAACTTAGCTAATTTGGTCATTGCTTTCCCCATCCCCTCCAGGAATTTGTGATTTGGTTGGTAAAGAAAGCTCGTTGAGCAAATATGTTCAATATTTTTTATAGATGCTAAGGTAGAAGTTTAGATGAGTTACAGCAGGGGCACAGAAGAATAAAGTAATTTATATGAAATTATTTTGCCATCTGTTAACTATTTGCCAACTATTTTTACATCTATACAGATATACATTAAGACCAAAGAGAATGATATCAACTCATAGCTGCTTTCTGGAAAACATGTACGAGACATTTAGGACTCTGAACACATGCATACTATTACTGAGGTTTTTTTTAAAGGGCTACAAAAGAGTATGTTTAATATGATCATATTTTTATTAAAATATATACTATATAATATTTTATTAAAATATTTACTATGTATACAGAAAAAGTCAATAAAGATACACATTTAAAATATTAACAGGGGTTATATCTGGGTGATGGGATTACTGGGATATTATTTTATTAGCTATACTTTTTGCACTTTAAATATTTGTACAATGAACAGGGCTTACTTTAATAATCACAAATAACAAGAGAACAAAACCATTGAGTTGTAACCACGTTACAAGCACACAACATGTGTGCTTGTAAGCACAAAGAGACTAGACATTTTTATGTTTTTGTAGATTGTCAAGTGTTTAGTTGTTACATGAATAGCAACAAAAATTTATCAGCTTTTGAATGTCAGCAGATGACATCTCAAAGAGATGTGTCTAGAAGTCAACTCTGTTGGTTAGTCCTCTTCTGCAAGATGGCAAACTAACCAGGCACCTGCCGTTGAAGCACTGGAATTTACTTAAAATAGGGAGTGCTGTGCACACAATGAATGAACACAGTATGAATCACTTAGTTTGGCCACAAATAACAAGACACAGGTAAAAAGTGGCTTAAACAATAAAGATTTACTATTTCACATAACATGAGGTGCAGAAGTAGTCAGGTTCCAAGTCTGGTTAACTCAGTAGCTCAGCAATTTCAGGATTCTGGGTCAGCTCTCCTTTGATTTTCTTGGCTGTCCTCTCCTGGTAGCGCTGAACATCACTGCCTCACACAAGAACTTCCAAAGGCAGAAACGGGGGCGTTCCCCCTTTCTCTCTTTTTTTCAGGGATTCAAATCTTTCCCATAATTTCCCTAGCAGACATCTCCCTACATTTTATTGGCTACATTGTGACAGTTCAGTGTAAGGAAAAACGGGGAAAAAAACTAGACTCAGTCAAAGGAAAAAAAACATAGCCACCCCTAAACCAAGAACTGGAGAAAAGGATTACCATTACTGCCCTAGACCAGCGGTGTTCATTAGAATTTAATGTGAGCCATAATGCAAGATATATATATATATCTCCCTGAGTAGTCTTGGAAAGCTGAAAGCAAGTCTTCATTCTCTCCTCTACGAATGAGCTACAACATTGATAAGCAACACTGCCTTCCACCAGCATAATTAGAAGTAATTGCCAAGGGTGCATCTGGCGTTATTTCAACAAAGGCACCTCAGTGACAGAATCTGGACTTCGAGTTCCTGAGTTATGGTTCTGGGTGTGAACCTGACTATTTGTGTGGTCTTAATTGAGTCACTTGGCTTATCTGGGCCCCAGTTTCCTCCTTTTAAAACAGTTCTTTAACATCATTTTAACTCTAGTTCTCCATGATTTTATATTACTGTTCAACTGGGGACCTTCCTAGACTCTTATGTGACACCAGCAAGCTAGGTCAGCAACACATGAGAAGTCATTCAGAAGGGCACTTTCTCTGATGCCATGGGGCAAAATGCACTTTTAAAGGGAAAGAAAGAAGGCAAGCCATGGTGGCTTGTCATTCACTTACTCGGCTAAGTATTACAGGGTACCCACTAGGTGCCATAGTGACTCTAGATCTAGTAATAGAATAAGATGTAGTCCCCACTCTCAGTGAGCTTACAGTCTAGTGGGAACGGAGTATAGATAAGCAGGTACACAACTACAAAAGGTGTATAAAGAGGGCTAGGACAGTGGAAGACGAGGGTGTAGATCAGAGGAGCATCTAGCCCAGCTGAGGGGAGGTGAGAGAAGCCTCCCTGGAAGAAGTGATACCCGATTAAGGCCTGAAGAACAGTACATGGTTGCCCCTCCTGGCATCAAGGGAAATTGCCTGGCCTACAGGGCATCTCATCCTACACTTTATCTACTTTTCTTCTCTTCTTTTCTCTGACTTACTGTTTTTCTATTCGTTTCTTCAGTGCATTTGCCCAGTTGTCTGTATGCCTGGGATCTGGTGACAGGACCACAAGAAAACTCTTGCAGCAAACTGAAGGTTTCTGTTTCAGAACCTTCCACCACCTTCACCACCATCATTTCCATAATCCCCACCACCACCTCCACCATGATCACCACCACCATCACCACTATCACCACTACTACCTTCATCACCACCTCTCAACACCTCCATCATCACCACCATCACCACCATCGTCACTACCACCTCTCAACACCTGTCATCACCATCCACCATCATCACCTCCACCACCACGAGCATTACCTCTACCACCATCAAAAAAGTATACAAGTGACCCTTGCTTTAACGAATCCCAGAACTATGTCTAAAATCTGAATAATATAGTGAAAAAAATTGAGATGATTATTTGCTTTTCCAAATTATTCAGCCACCTTAAATAGTTACGTTTCCCTAGTGTTTTTTATATATGCTTTGGTTTACCAACATTTTAATTGCCCAGATCTCTTTAGGAATATACCTATTTTAAGAAGTAACACATGTCAGAGACAGGATGTTCATGCTAAGAAGGGCAAGCATAATAAGAAATTCATAAAGTCTCTTTCTTTATTCATCAAATTATTGAGAAGAGTTTTATATGCAAAACTCTACTAAACATTAAGCAGTTTTAGTTAGCCACAAATCAGTAATTATAAAGGTAAAGTTAATTCTATCAATAGTACTCCTATAAATAGTACACCTATATATAAATATATAATACTTACATAAAAATATAGGATACATACATTTATATACTAATAGCATGTTTGTAAATTTTAAAATATATTTATGATATATTTGTATACATAAATAACACTTATCATATATCTATGATCAATGTATATTATTATTATAAATATCCTTCTCTAATTGTGAAATTTGGGTGACAGACTGAGACAGATTGTAAAAATGGTTACAAATTCCTCTCTCATCCTTGTCTGCACTTCCCTTGCCATGTGACTTTGCCACTCTTTTCATCAAGGAGAGTCTATTTCCCTGCTCTTTGACTCTTGACTCTAGGTGGGCCATGTGACTTCTTTGGCTAATGGGATATTAACAAATGTGACGCAAGCAGTGGCTTGAAAAACGCACACGCTTTGGGGTTTGCCCTCTCCTGCTGATCTGGGAACCCAGCCACCACCGCCATGTGATCTAATCTGGGCTGGCCTGCTGGAGAATAACAGCTCATGTGGAGCAGAGATGAGCTAGTCCAGCTGCAGCCCTACTAGACCAATCAGCCCGCCAACCAGATACATGAGAGACCATTGTAGACCATCCAGCCCTAGCTGAGCTGGCTGAGGCCTGAAGACCCACCAAGTGGAGAGACTAGAGATTCATGAGAAAAAATAAGATGTTTATTGTTTTAAGCCACAAAATTTTGTGGTGGTTTGTTATACAGCAAAAGCTAACTGATACAGGGACCATATCTCACTGAGTTTTGTTTTCCTCTTTTCTCTTTATCCATTCCAAAAAGCTTCGGTAAAACATTTGGTTCATTAGAGCCAGTTATCACAAACCTATGATCTTTTCTTCCAATTCTAAAAGCTCTGATTCTCTTAAATTAATAAGCTTCCTCTCTTGGTTATGGTCTTTACAGAAGAAACGGGCTGGAGATAAAGGTAGTAAAAATGAGGAATGATGTTAACAGTGAGAAGGGAACTGGAGATGTGAATTTAGGTGGTGACAGTGGGATGCTGAGGCAAAAAAGAGAGGTTGGTACAACTCCTAAAGTGTTGACTAACTTCCTGGGAGAAGTTTGTTCTACTAAATCACAATCTGTGAAATTCCCTGGCACTGACCGCAGATGACCCAGATGACCCTATGTTACATTATAAACACACATTCTAAAATTCCCCTTTTCACTTTTCACTTTTTCACTATTCAAAATATGGCTTTCTATTTTGGTAGTTAGAATTTTGTTGGCTCCAGCAACAGAAGCCCAACTCGATCTTAAAAGCCCAGATCATCCTCCAGCTTCAGGCAAGGTTGAATCCAGTTACTCAAATGATGTCCTCAGGGAACTGTCTCTCCATCTCTATCTCTAGGTTCTGCTTTCCTGTTTTGGCCTCCCTGTATTCCTCAATCCCTGACCTACTTTGTGGGTCCCAGAGTTCAGTGGTAGCAATTGTCTATTGGGTCTCTCCATCTTTGGTGACCAAGCCCTATTCCTCCTCCCCAGCTGTTACTCTAATCATGTTAAAGGCACTAAGACCCATCCAATTACCCAAGTCAAAAACTTGGGAGTTATCCCAGACCTCTCCATTAGTCCCCATATCTAATAGATCATAAAGCCAAGTCACTTCTCCCCCATCTGTGTCTTTGGAATTGGTTTTCCCTCTCCATGGCCATTGCCACTATGCTTCGTCATGCATTGTTATTTCTCTCATGGAAGAAAATTTAGTCCTAATCAGTCTTTGTTTTGCTTCCTACAAACCATCCTCCATGCCTGGAGTAATCTATTAAAAATGTAAATCTGAGTCTAGCATTCCTTGCTTAAAATGTTTAGTCATGTAACTTGTATAAGCGGCTCCACAAAAGTGGGGTACAAACATGATCCTATTTGGTGATTTTTCCAGTTGATCCCTTGAACCCCCGCTGCTCTCTGTTGGCAGAGAGCCTAGTTATCTTAAGTTGAGCGCCCTAGAAACAGAGCCTGAGCTGGGATCTGTTGTTATTTTAGGGGCCTCATTGCTCCCTGCCACAGACGGGAGCCGAGCCCACTCTGATCCACCCTGCCTGGCCTAACTACAAGACAGAGTCTTGGGGCAGGAGATTGCAGATTGGTGTCTTTCCTTCCAAGAGGCCCAAGGCTCCTCATGCAAATTGCGTACCCAGTAACAAGCTCTGCCTACTTGGGGTCTCAGAGTGGGGCCTTGATCTAGTCACAAAAGATTCTTTTACGTCAGAGGTCAAAAACTCAAATGTATACAGGAGCCAGAAGCCTGACTGACAGGGCAGCCACCACCCAGCAATAATCGTTACTAAGCAGGAATTTGGCACTCACAGTTACCACATCTTTGGAGTTTTTTCAGGAGGAGCACAAAATCTTGATTTTTATGTGAAATATTCTGATTTTAAATTATTAACTTGATTTAAAAAAAAAAAAAAAAGCAGGCAAAACAAAGCTTGTCCGGGGCCTTCTCTGGCCCAGGGGCTATCAGTCTGTGAATTTGGTCTTACACCCTAAGTTTCAGAACAATGGATGCCCATTTGTCCCATATTTGCATAACTATGGGCCACTGCAATGAACCCGGTCTGGACAAAGATCTGATGTGAATCCTACAAAAGGTTCCATGACTTCAAGATCGTCTAACCTTCTCTAGTGTGGCCTGTGTGGCCTCCTGGCTCCTACACTTCTCCAGAACTTTCTGTTCCCCTCTCCCCCACTCTGTTTCACACCTCAGTATCCAGGACGCCCTCCACTTCCACTTATTTATGGACACTGTGGCCCTCCTTCAAGATCTGCCTCAAACACTGCTTCCTCTGGGCAGCCCTCCTTCCCCTGGTCTCTGCTTTCTCTTCTGCTTACCCCATGTTCTAGAGCAGTTACTCCACTGCCCTAATGTTTTACAGGCCTGTTGCCCCACCTGACCCAACCCCTAGAGGGCAGGAGTCTGGGTTCATTCACATCCGTATCCCCATTGCCTCATAGAGTACCTAGCACTTTAAATGCAGATTACAGAAACGGGCATCCACTTTGAAAAATAATGAGCTGACCATTGCTTTTCACACGCCAGAAATCCATTTATGAAGAACAGGTAATTTCGTTTGGAGAAATTAAGTTGAAACTTGGTGTTTAAGAGAAGGGACAAAAAAAAAAACCCGCAGACTTTCATTTTTAAAATGACCACATATTTGTGAAATACAGTTGGAAAGAGTAAGTTTTTAGACTCCCTCAGCTTTGGACATAGCCGAGGCTTCTAAGAGTTCTAGAACTAGAGAATAGCTAAATTGGTCGCACTAGCTTTTCTCCGGAACCTCAGAGGTCCCCAGGGCTCACAGTAGGCGATGTTTGCTGCCTCAGAGGGGAAAGGAAACCAGCTCCTCTGAATGAAACAGTACTTCCACAGGGGCGGCGGCCTACGGTGAGAGAGCGAGCAGCCACAGTCGAAAAGACCCTTTGCATAATCCACTCTTAAACTGACTGAGGCTTGCAGAGTTGTAAACTGAAACTCCGGAGGCAAACCCAAAGCGGTTACATTTTTCGACGAGGTTTCCCAGCCCTGTCAATCATTTCCTGCTTTCTCTCCCTCCCCAGTGCGCGCGCGCGCGCGCACACACACACAGAGTTTAGACCGCTGCATTGACATTGAGCCTCTCTCCTACCTGAAGTGGAGCACCTCAGGAAGCAGCGAGGCTGGAGTTTCATTCATAATACATGAACTCAAGGGAGGAGGGAGGCAGAGACAAGAGCCTTTCATCTCTACGTAAAATCCCAGCATTGCAGCTGAAAGGGAAAATGACCTGGGAGGGAACGGCATCGAGGATGAAGTACTGCACGATAACGGTACCGGCGAGCGCGTCAGCGGCCCGCCCGCCTGCTATTTATACCGCAGCGATTATGCAATCTGGCTCCAGCCATTCATGCCCCGACTGGGACGACGCGCGCCGGGGGAGGGGGGGGCATCATTCCCGGGCGCAGGGTCAGTTTCTAAGTTTGCATCATCCCCTTCATTACCAGAGAGCTTGGGTTTCCATTCCTGCCGGCGGGTCTTGGGGGAGACAGCTGGGCTACAAACTCACTTGGCACACACTGGCACACAGGACTGGACTGCTTATTTAAACATAATAATAAAGGCACCAGAGCGCCCGAGGCGCAGCCAAGCAGCGCGCAGCGCTGGGCTCGGGACAGACCGGAAGGAACTGATAAACCGAGCGCTAATGATACCCGCTCCCTCCCCTATCGGAAGTGTCCTCCGAGCGCCGGTCATTGAGAAATACCGAAGGGGCAGAATGCGGGTGAGATGAGGACAGGTCCGGGCGCAGCCGCGCGCCTCGCGGGGCGGGGAGCGGGGGCGCCGCGGCAGCAGGGGGCTTCTGCGGGCCCCGCGGCACAAACCTTAGGGCACAGTAGAGTCCTCCCAAAGCACCACCCCCCGCGCGCCCCTGAGTCGGGGGACTGATTTATCGATCCCTTCCCCCCAACCCCAGGGAGATCTACACTCCCGGCCCTACCAGACCCCGATGGGCGATAGATGGGAGGACGCAGAGAGGGGGCGAAGGACACGAAACAGAGCGGATGGCAGAGAAGGATAAAATGTCCGCTTCTCCCGGCGCCCGTGCGGGGCGAGAGGGGGCGGGGTCCGCGGCTGGCTTCCGAGTGAAACGAGACCTGCGGGTCTACTGAGCATGCCCGTCCCGCGGCCGCCGATGGTCGCTCCGGTTCCGCGCTCCGGGCTTTCCGGGCGGCCGGCGGGAAGGACCCGGGTGGGGGTTCTCCCCCGTCCGCGACTCGGGATTGAGAGGGGAGTAGGTGGGGGTCCTGCTGGGTTTGCGTGAAGTTGTGAGCAGATCGCCATTACTTTTGAAGCTGTACGATCTCACTCTGAGTCGACACCCTTGATTTGATCGTGTTCAGAGCTACCTGCCCCCTGCTTTTGCTGGTTGTCGGGGAGATACAGGGATGTGGGTATACAGCTCTTTCGGCAATGTCATTAAATTAGAGCCCTAAATCCGTTATACTTCCTATTCTGGTAACAATCCAGTTGATAAGACCCTGATATTCAGATCAATAAACATATCTGAATTATTCATCCAATATCGCCATTTATTCTATGGAGCGGCAGGAGTCACAGTTAGTAATTGATGGAGTGACCTGCTAGGAACATTTCCACCCAAAGGCCTCTTTTGGGTCACGAACAAGGCAGAAGAGAACTGGAAGGTTTTCTTTAGAGGAACATGAAGGACCAGGAGTGGAGGGGGGAGCATTTGGTAATCCCACTGGCTAGAGACAAGAAAAGATTGCCATTAATCTCCCATTTGCAGTGTGCTTAGCACAGTACCTTCACTGTATAGCCAATTAATCTTCCCAGCAACCCTATGTTGTGGGAATTATCCTGACACTGCAGACGCCGAACCCGAGGCTCAGAGAATTGAAGGATCTGCTTGAGTGTGGCACCAAGACATCCAAGTGGGGACCTGGTGACTCCTGGACCTTAGAATGTTTTCCTTTGCTCCTCTGGCTGCCTGGTCCGTGGGCTGGGCCAGTCAGTCACTGCCATTAGCAGGGAGCTCGCTGAATGAGTGGTGATGACACCGATTCAGCTTGCCTACCTGCAGAAATGAATACTCACCTCACCTGCTGCCTTGCCATTTGGGCACTCTGAAACTGGAGGGTGGAGCCAAAGAGATGCCCATTGGGTGGATAATTTTGACATAGACAAATGCCTATGTTTCTGGAAGTTCAGGAATGACTGAGTGGGATCTCTTTTAGCACCTCCAGGAGAAAAGCAACAGTGGCCACAGGGGAGAACTGGGTAGATGCCTTAGCCCTATGTGGATTTAGAGAATAATAAGATCTTGTTTTGTTTGGTGCTTTCTCATAGACTCAAAAACTGAGAAAAACAAGCTTGCCCTTGTTATCCCTGTTTTATAAAGAAACGGAAGAATTGCTAAAAGCCTCACTCAGTGTCTCAGGGCTGCTAAGAGAAAACTGGACCCAGGTGTTCTTCCCCTGTCTAGTGCCCTTTTCACCACCATACACCAGCATTCAGCATCAAAGGTGGGTGAACTTCAATCCTCATCCACAAAGATCATGGTTGCAATAAGCACGAAGCCTAGGGTAAACCACTAGTTTCTCCTTGACTCAAGGTGAAACTTTTACTATCTTTGGAGCACTTGTGGCTTTCCAAACGCATACATACACCCTTTAGGTATACTACATTTGAGGCATATATTTAATCTTCTCTTAATGTGTTCAATGGTAGCTATTTAGTTAACATCTCTGTGTAGTCGCTTGGCACATTCAGGAGGATGGAACATCTACTGTGCTTGGAGAGCAGGAAGGGGCAGGGACTGTATCTTTTGCACCCTAGTATTTCCTAGAAGGAAATACTCAAATGCTAGGTAATTTGTGGGATCCACTGCAAAGTGAAAATGTGGAGCCCCTTGTTCAAACATTATAAAGAATTTCAAGACCACAACAGCAGAGCATCAAACCAGGCAAAGATCCCTATGCAACTGCGCAGGTTGCACGCCGGGGAAGCCAGCCCTGCCCTTTGCCCATGGTCCTACGCCAAGGCAGGAAAAATAATTTAAAGACAAAGGGGAGGGAGAGGGGGACTCCAAGAGTTCTCCATCTCCCCATCTCACTGTGCCAAAGCCCACGGGGTCGGCTACCCCTGGCCCAGGAACTATGGCCTTCAAGGGCCTGGGACAAGGGCCATCCTCCACCAATACGAGCGAGATTTACTGAATAATTTAAAAAACATATTTGGGCTTACCTTTTAACCCGAGAAAGTCCATTTCTACTGAAGTGCAAACATTTCTGGGCTGTGTTGGATTTACCTTTTATTTTTTTATGTACAAATAATGATTCCTTAAAAATGCCCGTTCCCCTACCAAGACAAAAAAGATCACAAGATTCACGCGAAACTGAAAAGCCTCTGCCATTCAGAGCCTTGGCAAAGGCACCTGTGCCGCCCCCACCCTCCCGGCCCACGGCGGGGGGTGGGGATCCTCTGAGCCCGAGCACCCCTCCGGCTCTTCCCTGAGCTGAGCTGCCCGTCTCCGCCCCCTCCTTCCCGCCCCGGATTCTTAATCCAGGGGTTTGGAAGGAGGGAGGGAACCAAACAGGAGCCAGATGTGTGCGAGTCCCGGGCTCCTGCCTCCTCCCTCCTCTCGGGCATCTTAAAACCCGGAGCGCTGACAGAGAGGGATCCGGAGCCAGACAGACGGCGAGCAAACAACTCCGCTCCAAGGCTCCTCCGGGAGTGGAAGCCCGGAGGGAGGGGGGGAAAAAGGAAGCCGGGCATGCTCAGTAGGCGGGACAAAGTTTTTTTTTTTTTTTTCTCTCTCTCTCTCTCTCTCCTTTTTTTTTTTTTCGGTCGCAAGTAGGAAGCTTTTTGCACTCCACCACCTCTGGCCGCTGGGAAGACGTCATCGCTTCCGCCCTACTTCCTCCTCCTGTTGGCGGCGGTGAGAATCCAATATGGAGTAAATCGGTGGAGTCGAGAGATGGGGCTCGGACGGGGCGCCCTGCACCGCCTCCCAGGCGCACCTCCCCCGGCCGCCGACCGCTCCCCGGAACCGTGATTGGCCCGGCCCCCCCGGGGCGACCCCGCACCGAGCCCCCACCCGCGTCCGGCCTTCTCCTCTCAGCAGTCCCCGCCGCCCCACGGCGCGCTTGTTTTTCTCCTCCTCTCCCCAGCGCCGTCCCCTGCCCAAATCTCTCCCCCTCCGCCCGCTCCCGAAGCCCCCGAACCCCGCCCGCCTCGCCCCTCGGCGCTGCGACGCTCACTCCCTCCGCAGCTTGCCTTTGCACCCCTTTCCCCAAACCTCACCCCGCGCTCCGGTCGCCCTGCTTCCCCTTCTGCCTTCTGCGGCGCCCCCCTCATCTGTAGCCGCCCCCCCCCCAACCAAATCAGGCGATCTCCGGAGATGTGAAGAAGGAGGGTGAGCGGACAGGAAGATGAAGGGAGCAAAGCTGCCCGCCGCGGGACAGGCGTCTAGGTGAACAGGAAAATGACCGAAGAAACACACCCGGACGAGTAAGTTTGGCCGCGGAGTGGGACGAGGGTGTCCCGCGGAGACAGCGTGGGGGCCGGGGCTGAGGACGCGAGTGGGGACGCTGGTTGGGTGAACTTGGCATGGGGTGCAGCGACTCGCTGGCCTGTGGGGTTTGGGACGCGAGATTTCCCCCCTTGTTGAAGTGAGGAGGGGGCAAAAACTGCTGCGGCCGACAGGGGCGCGCCTTGGGTCGGCGGGCTGGTGGCCGCTGCGGGGGCCAAGGGCGCGCGGGTGACCTCGGGGCGGTCCCCGCTCCCTCTCCAGGGACTCACAAACACCCCTTCCCCCCCGAAATCCTCGGCGGCTGGAGCGGAAGACCTGACACCCCCGCTCCGGTTTCCTGGGGTCGGTGGATTTTTACATGCTGACTTTGTGACTCTCCCGCCCCGTCGCTCGCCCGCAGTCCCTTCGGGAGCCCACTGGGGCCCAGGCTCCGCCATTTCGTTTTCTTGAATCGCTCTCATTTGCATACCACATTTTCATTCATAAAAAACAGGGCAGAGCGAGAGGAGGACTGGGCTCCGGCTGCGCGGGGGTCTGCGTGCGCCCGAGTCCCTGCGCCGCCCGAGGGGTCCGGCGGCGCGTGTGAGTGTGGGTGCACGCGCTGATGGCCCGGGACAGGCGCCCCGCGGGGTCGGGGCAGCTCGGGGGGCGGATCCCAGTCGTGTGCGGCGGGGGCGGGCGGGAGCGTGCGGGGCAGCGCGCTGCAGGCCAGTGTGTGTGTATGTGAGTGTGCGCGCGTGCACAGGCGTGCGTGCCCGGCCCGCGGGAAACAATGCTCAGGGCGCGCCGCCCAAGGGGCTCCCGGGCAGACCTGCCGCCCGTGGGACTGGTGCCTTTCTCCGGCCCCCGGGCCCCGGTGCAGCTCCCTCCGGCCTCGCGATCGCCGAGCAGGGTTTGGCTTTCTCCCACCCCGGCTCGAGGCGTTTCCAGTCGCGGGTGCAACCGAAGCTGTGCCCGGCGCCTGAGGTCGTCGGCCTCGGGTCCGAGCGGTCACCGCACGGCGGCTGCCGCCGCTGCTCAGCGGCTGTGCCCGCCACCAGCCACTTTTTTTTGTGAATAAGACGCTCTCCTTTATTGTCACATGATATCCCTCCCCTCCTCCCCTGCACATTCATAAATCCGGAGCCTGCCTCGGCTCCTTTCATTCAGCGCTGCCATTAGCCAAGGTAGCGGCGGCGCTGGCTTGGGCGCAGGGAGCGGGTCTGCAGCCTCGGGGACGCGCCCTGGAGGGAGGCCCCTCGCGTGTCTGTGGGGGCGTCGGGCTGCCGGTAGCCAGCTCCCGAGGCCCCGGGTCTTTTGCCCCCGCGAGCATTGAGACTTGGTGCAGAGAGGGGAAGTGACTCAGGGCTGGGCGACGGGGAGGGCTGCTCTTGCAGCAGGTGACAGAAAGCTGTTTTCTACTCTGAGAATCTACTCAATTTTTTTTGAATGCCCGTTTATCCTTTGGCGTCTGCTGTTGCCAGGCTGGATGGAGAGGGTTGGGGAGGGCTGGGGTTTGAGAAAGGGAATTTCCTTCTTGTGGGTCCCCAGGGAGTTTTGACTGCAGTAACCCCTGGTCTGCTGGACACCCATAGCTGAATAGGATCCCGCCTGGTGTGCGTGTCGCAGCCGTCCCGCCACATCTGGTTTTTCTATTTTAGACATTTTGCTTTGCCTTCATAGACAGTATCTTCAAATGGTAAAATGAAAAAAAGTTGCGCTTCTAGGGCTGAAATATGGAGGGAAAGGAATATGCTGCTGGGCCTTGTCCCCCTTCGGACTCGACTAACAAACAGGTGTTTTTATGGTTCCTCGTTTGTCCCTGCACACACAAATAGCAGTAGTAGCAGTAAGTGACAGTTGTCATGCTCTGGGCGTCGGGATTCTTGGAGATTGGTTCAGCCACCCTACACTGGGTTCCTTGGCTCCATCTCTTGGGAGTACTGGCCAGGCCACTCCCTTTTCACAGCGGCATGTCCGCTTTGCATCCTACCCCACCTGGTATCCAAAGCAAAAGGATTTCTGGTGTGATCACCAGCAAGAAATAAATCTCTATTCCAGGCCTTCAGAGCAGTTCAGCATGGAAACCGGCTGCCCCCACTGCTGTCAGAAGCCCCATTGAGACAATGGATGTTTGAGGACAAGTTCTGGTTTCATTTAGAGAATCAGAAAGCTGTAGTTCTTTAGCCCACTGCAGAAATGGCCTTCTCGGCATTACTTTTAATGTAATGACCTTGGCATGAGACATGAAATGCCTGGTAAGAAAACGGCTGCATGAGCTATAAACTGCCATTTGTGGACACTGTCCATTATATATATTGTTCAACGTTCTTATGTAATGACCCATCTGAAAAATTCCTTTTAAATGTTAGTGCCAGGAAGAAGGTTTCTCCCTGAGTAATAGAGCTTGCTGTGAGTGCTTTTTTGTTTTTTTTTTTTTTTGCTACCGCTGTCTGGAAGCTCAGAGCTAAAATTATTGCTTGATTATGGTAGCCATATTAGCCTAGGTTTTTGCTAGATTTATATATCCCTCCTCTATATGAATTTTAGTCTTCATTATCTCTTCTAATGGTTTTATGTTTGAGGTCCCTCAAATACCTTTTGGAAGTAGGCAGAGGTGTGTTACTTATAAAGAGAATTGGTGACATCAAACTGGAGACCTAGGGAAGATATATTTGTGCCTTAGGTAAAATAGATTTTCTTGGTAGTCCACATATATTTAAGGTTTTTATTAAACAATACAGATATTTAAACATCTGTTTAAATTTAAACATTTAGCATCAGAATACAATAAATCAGAAACTTGCAACTGGTTAAATTGTGCTTAATTTTAAAAAATAATAAATGTTTTATCTTCTAATGTTGTTTTTCTATGTCAATTTAACACTCCTCTCTAATAAATATATAGTAATTCAGGAAAGCTTGTCTGCTCTTTTCACTGATGGTCCTAAAAAATAGCTAGTGTGTAGAAAATACACTGACCCTTCTTTGATCCCACTCCAGATAGAAATGCACTTTAAGGTTTATAATTCTACAGACTTTTTAAAATAATTTAAAAAGTAAAGAACATCAACAAACTATTGAAAGTGGTGTTTTGTACATAGGAATAGAAAGTGTTTTTAAAATCATACATATTTTGTCTGTATCTTTATTTTTTTTTTTTTTATTTATTTATTTTATTTTTTCCCCCCAAAGCCCCAGTGGGTAGTTGTACGTCGTAGCTGCACATCCTTCTAGTTGCTGTATGTGGGACTCGGCCTCAGGATGAACGGAGAAGTGGTGCCTCGATGCGCACCCGGGATCCGAACCCGGGCCACCAGCATCGCAGTGCGCGCACTTAACCACCAAGCCACAGGGCCGGCCCTGTCTGTATCTTTAAAGCATTTGATCATGGCTATGAATGGTTTGGAAATTTGCAGACAAAGTGAAGAAACCCTTCTCAAGCGAGCTGTAACTCAGGAGCCATTGAGCCATAGAGCTGCCATTCAGCTTTCTATTTTGTTCCTTTCACGAACTCTGCTCTGCAACACACATCTTGCTGAGAATGGATTTGCAGCTTCGCCCTAAGTCATATTTTTCCTGATGTTGAAAGGTTTCCCATTAAAAAAAACAGGCTCAAATATTTTTGCTGAACCATTTCAAGGAAATTAGACATCAGAACTCTTATATCTAAATACTTGAGCTTACTTGCCAAAAGATGAGAATACTGTTGAATCATCACACTTGACAAAATTAAGAATAATTCCCTGATGTTTATAAAAGACTCAATCTTTTATAACAGGTCAATTTAGCCAGAGGCCAATCACCAATCCCACCTTAAATGCATTTGTAACATACTTAAGACTCAAGGCTTAGCCATTTGCTAACTTTCTGATCTAAGGCAAGTTACTTACGTATCTCACCTTGGTTTTATCTAAGTGAATGAAATGGGAATAAATATTATATGTCATGGAGTTGCAGTGAGAATTAAATGAGATATCCTATGTAAAGCTTACAGTCTAGCACCAAGCATAAAACAGTGTATGGTGTTGGCTCTTTCCAGGGTACTAAGATGGGTTTCTTACAGACTCAGCTTGTTAATTTTCAAATAACCCGTTTAACTGATGAGGAAGCTTAAATAAAGTTACTTACCTAAGACAGCAAACATTTTTTATAGCATTTATTCATTTAGCCTTCTCAACAATCCTATGAGGTAGATGGTATTATTACCCCCACTTACAGATGAGGAAACTGAGGCCCAGAGAGGTTAAGTAATTTGCCCAAGGTCATACCATTAGTAACTGAAGGAGCTGGGATTTGAGCAGCCCAGCAGCCTGGCTCAGGAAGGACTGTTTTTAACCACCGTGAGGTACTGTCTCAGAAGGGAGAGGGGGATCAGCCATAGTTGTTCTGACTTCAGAGCTCACACCATGTCTGCCAGTCATGCTGTCCCTAATTCTGAATTGGTGACAGTCTGTCACCATATCAAGTCCTTAATTTATCAAACTCCTCTGTCAGTTCGATCAAGTCACCATCTTGCCATAACTTTTTCCACTTCCCCTCCCTGAAAATGCTATGAGGCACATACTGAATTAAAGTGAATTTAAATAAACTAGGGCTTGAGAATTCTGAGATACACATTGAGATAATAGGAGGAGTGTGAATTCAGAGTTGATTGTTACTGGAATGTTCGTTCTGCATTCATTGAAATAACAGTTGTGGAAATTAGACCTGATACAACAAGTATTGATCCATTTTCTTTGCTTTAGCCTTCAAAAGGTGATGTGTTTCTGCTCTAGATTTCTTAAATGTTAAAAACATGGAGTTGACTTTGCAGAATTGGAATCTTGGTCCACTTATCAGAAAATCTTGAAAGGAAGACAAAACAAAAAAACTTGGAAAGACCTGAACAAGCTTGTAAGCCAGGACATTGTCATTGTAGTCAGAGTGCCTACTGCATGCACTTACTGTACAGCTTGTCAGGTGGTGGGCCTGGGCTAACTCCATCCGCTGGGCTTGT